CTCTACCCGGTATTGGTTACATGCATACATTTGTTGTTCTTGTACGAAAAAAAATTAACGGTAATGTGTGTTTTGAAAGTAAATATTTACGTCCCAAATTTATTGTAAGTGCCAAAAAATCAGTGGGCGTAAAGGCAAATAAACATTAGATATGACCAGCACGAACAGATTGGATTCTATATTGATACATAAAGCATCCATTTCCGTTCCTAGTGCGTCGACACCTTATATCCATTGGCCATATTTATTGCTGTTTTCTAGTTGAAAACGTTACGTACAGTGAGTGGAGTAATTGGAGCACTTGTAGCCAAACCTGCGGAGTATCCACACAGACAAGAAGCAGGACCTGTGACGTCCCTGGTTATACTTCCACTCACTGTACCAACACCACAGACACCAAGAGCTGCACCGCCTTCATGGCGCAATGTCCTGTTGGTGGTTCAAATGGTGAGTATTGTGAATGAGTAAAAATGGAAAAAAAAGACTCAACAGACATGTACGGCCAAAACGAATTTATCGCATAAGCTCTGCTGTATAAAAAACACTATTCTAAGAAATGAATAAGCAAATATGTTTTGATATGGTGCCAAAACTCCTGTACCATGTTCTGCTCTCAAATACAAATGGTTCTGGAATCAAGTCTTTGTTGATATTGTTGTTTGCTCTTGTTAGCAGTCTGATAGCGTTCGTTTTTTTTTTTTTTTTTCATAGGTTGCGGAGGAATGTATTTCTCTGTCCCTGGAATAGTGCAGTCCCCCAGTTTTCCTGGTACATATCCAGGCAGTCAGAACTGCTTGTACACCATTCAGGCTGAAGTCTACGGGACATTGCTAAACTTGTCGTTCTCAGATTTTCAACTTGAAAGCGGTAGTGTCTGCCGTGACCGCCTTGAGGTTAGTTTCATTCATTATCGAATATAATATAATATAATATAATATAATATAATATAATATAATATAATATAATATAATATAATATAGTATACGTGTGTGACATAGGTTATAGAAATACATTTTTTGTAAGTAGTGTTCCTTTCTTTACCTTGATCTTGTATCCTACGCGGTGTATTGATCTCATGACCTCATGTTCCTTAACAAATCACGTCACTGGATCCTCTCGGATTTCAGAAATTTTCATGACATCATGTTCCTTCGCGGTTCATGTCTTTGTATCCTTACGGATCTTTAGAAAAAAATCATTGCATCATGTTGTTTTACACACCATGTCTTTGTGCCCTCCCGGCTCCCGGTTAGAAAATATAATGACATTATTTTTATTTACAGATCAAGCCACAGGGTTGTCCAAGGTTTTTAAAAATCTTACGACATCACATTCCTTTACAGATCATGTCTTTGGATCTTCTCGGATTAAAAAAGTTCATGGCATCATGTACCCTTACAGATCACGTCACTGGCTCCTCCTGGATTTTACAAAATCTCATAGCATGATGTTTTTTTTACAGATCATGTCACTGGATCCTCCTGGAACACCGCAAAGTTACTGCGGTACAGACACGCCCCCGAACCTCGTTGGTTTTGCATTTCAGCTGAATTTTATCAGTGATTCATCTGTGAATAAAAATGGTTTTAGAGCCATATACACAGAAACCAGTAAGTAAACAATATTAAACATTCAGAATGATATATCTTTTATAAGTGGAGCAATAAGTGCTAATATAGATTATATACATACCCATGTACATGTGTATGTGCACAATACATGTATAGAAGTGTTTTGCTTTTTGGTGGTCGTTATGCCTATTGTTTCTTAGGAACATTTCAATGATTAATTTCAAATGTTGTTAGATATTTGTTTGCAGTCATTTCAGGTTTAA